GGAGCTTTCAGGTCAAAGCCCTGCCATGTATGTGACAAGGATCCATCTATATAGGTGCATGGCCCGCAAGAGGCTTAAGCCACGCGTGCGTGATTGTGCAAGTGCATACTTGCTAAATGAAAACCCGATCATTCATCACTTAAGTGAATGATGTTCCCCAGTGAGCTCTCAGCTGCCACCGCAGTTCCGGTATGCCTCAGATCGTGATGAAACGCGTTGGCTGGTGTCCAGCTGTTTGGAGGTTTGTCTGTACGTTACACGAATGATTCAGTTTCAGTCGTTTGGGCGGTTGCTTAGTTGGGTCCAGTCACTGCTCGAGCTTCTTCCCTTGCCTCCTCCTCATCTTTGCCGGAGTTGATTGCCATGTTGTAGGCTTGCTTGTAGGCACAGCACTGCTTGGATCTTTTCTGCCTCTTCAGGGTGTTTGGGCTAGGATCCCTCTCCGAAACACCATCAGCACCTTCGGTCTTCTCCTTTGGGCTTTCCTGCACTTTTCTCTTCCTTCCTTGCTCCTTCTCTTCCTTCTTTGCATCATCGCTCTTCTTGCCCTTCTGTGATGCTTTCTCCTTCTCTTCCTGTGACTCTGCTGCTTTCCTCGTTGAGGTCTTCGTCCTTTTTGAATTCCCACCTTCAATGGCCTTCTGCTCCTGTTCCTTTGTCTTCCCAGTCTTCTTTGTCTTTGGCTCCTTGGTCGGTTGTTTTGACTCCTTGTCCTCCTCTTCCTTGTCCTTCTGCGACTTCTTTGGCTTCTTCGACGATGTATCGGGCTTTTCTGCCTTCGTCCTCTTGGCTTTCACCTTCTCATTCTCTTCCACCTTTTCCTCCTCTCCCTCCTTCTTTTCTGCCGACGCCGATGCCTTGAATTTCTTGGCCTTCGGTTGGTCCTGTAGCTCCTTCTGTTCTTTATTGGGGTGCTTGTTGGTCTTCTGCCTTTTTCCTGTTGGCTTCTCGCCCTTTGCCTTTGCCTTAGCTTTGGCTTTGGCTTTCGCTTTGGGCCTGCCAGGTCCTCCTTTCTTCTTCTGCTCATTCTCCTCAACATCCTGGTTGTCATCTTCATCCTCGCAATCATCTGCAGAGCCACCCTTTCTCTTCTTCTTCTTTGCTGCTTTTGGCTGATCATCTGGAGCAACAGGCTTGTGCTCATCAAGAGCTTTTGGTCGCGCAATCGGCAATGCGTTCTCGCCTTCTTTGCCCTTCTCCCCGTTCTCCGCACTCTCTGATTTCTTCTCCTCCTCAACCTTCTTTTCACTCTTCACCTCCTCAACCTTCTTTTCGCTCTTCACAGGACTCTCTTGGGTCTCCTCGATCTTCTCTTCACTCTTCACTTCATGCTCCTCGGTCTTCTCTTCTGGTGTCTCCTCTGCCCCGTTTGTCTCGATCTCTTGAGTCTTCTCCTTTTCAGTCTTCTCTTCAGTTTCAGCCTTTTCTTCAACAGCCGTCTTGTCCTCAGTCTTTCCTTCTGCAGTTTTCACCTCAATTGTTCCTTCAACAGCTGTTTTCTCCTCAGCCTTTTCTTCAACAGCCTTTTCTTCAGCCGCCTTCTCTTCTCTCTTCTCTTCACTCTTCTCGCCAGTCTTCTCCTCAACGTTCTTTTCCTCAGCTGTGGCTCCAGTCTCCTCCTCAACCCTCTGTTCAGGTACCATAGCGCTTTCTTCTGATTCCTTGGGTTCGGAAGGCTGTTGTACCATTGGAATCTCCGTGCCATTTGTGTCCTCCTTCTTGTCGTCTTTCTGTTCAGGCGTTTCTTGTCCAAGAACCAATGTCTGTGCACGAAGGAGTTCTGATGTAGAGCGTCTGGAATCTTCCTCCTGGCTATGGATGAGATTGTTTGGTGGCTCGAGCACTGAACACGCGCGTATAGATATAATAGGCAATAATAAACAACAGGGTCCTTGGCAGCGATGGCAGTCGCTTCAGCTGCTGCCTCCGCCACTTCTGTCAAATCCATCACTTGGGTGTCCATGTTATCGATACCTGCGTGCAAAACATGTTCACATATAAGGTTCCTCGAAGTACTAGTTTTGAATGAATCGCCAATCACTTAGGTTGGTACCCTGCGGTGGATGTGAAGGCGGTGGCGGAGGAGGCATGGATTGGCGACGACGCTCGTCCACATCTTTTTGAAGCTGAAGCAACTGTAACTTCTTCTGTAAATCATCTAGAAGTTGCATCTTTGAAAGTTGGGCCTTTTGGAACTCCAATGTTTGGTTACTCTTGGGCTCGGGTGTTGAAGTGCATTCAACCGACTTCAAAGTTTCCATGTCACAAGCAATCATCCCACAAATCTGGCATTCGAAACCATCCTTCGATCTCCTGACCAGGCCGTGGATGTTCTTCGTGGCCAAGTCCAAGATCTGTGGCGTCGAGATACCTGTCAGCTGTCGACTAACGTGGGGGAACCCAGATCTCTGCTATCCATGAAAGGGATATGAAACCACCAGGCCTGAGGATGCCGGGGTTCCATCGACAGATGTAGGTGCGCCTAATGCATGCACAGGAATTCTGAATGGTCTTAGCCCTTAGCTAAAAATAGGAAAGCTGAGGATGGGGCGGGTAGCTGGAGTGCTTGGTTCTGCCTTCTTCAAGTTCAGGACAGGATCAATTGCGGGTACCTCCCAAACACAAATTGGCCAATGTATCGTATATATCGATGACGTCGGATGACTTACTTGAACACCTCTGGCCTCAACTTCAGCATCCACCTCAAGCGCCTCCTCTTCACCTTCCTCCCAGTAACCCTCGTAGTCATCAGCAGCTTCCGTGGCAGGTGCATCCGGGCTCAGGTCGGACGTTGAACCTTACATCAGTCAAGTCCCCCCGCAGTGGCCATAAGGATCCACCTACCAAACTTTATTGCCATCAACTCTTGAGTTCATCCCAGCCACCGCCACCCTCTGGAAGATCCACCCCGGCACATACGTAGAGCTCCCGCATGGCCGATTCCCGAGGAATATGAGGTCTCCGAGCAGCTCGTCCAAATTCAGTGATCAAGTTTCTCAAAGCCCAAGTGTGCATCTTGATCACTCCACCTTGGGACCAGTTTTGAGGGCCGTAGGTGTTGAAATAGATCTGCATGAATTCAACACGTACTTCTGATTTTGAGACTAGCACGTTCCACAGGAGGCTTGTGGGCTGGCCGGTTTGCCCAAAAGAACTCATCGACATGCTCCATGATGATTGAGATTGTTGGGCGCAAGCCTGGGATTGGATAGGATCGGTGTGGGGGATGTTAGGAATCAGGGAAATAACCAACAAACAATATCTTCACTTAAATGTTGACTCTTTTCCAAACAAGAAGCCAACTTCACATATCAAAGGCCCCAAGACAGTTGCGTTGTTGACGACATCTCTCCTGTTCACTGGGCCTTTTTTTGAAGTCGAAAAGACCACCAGGTGCCCCTTGGCCGCACCGGCAACCAAGTAGTCAAAAGAGCTCCAAGCTTCAGCCACTTTAGATCTGAAAGAGTATTGCTTTTGCAACGCTGTGCTGTTCTCTCTACCCCCCATACTGCAAAGCGATAGGAGGCAGGTTGAAGGCAAGACCGCTGGGGAAGTTGAGAGCTTAAAGTGAGCTGCAATCCCAACTCAGAATTGCCACACGTGCAACATCGAATGAATGGTTTGCCATCAAACTCATGCCAGTAAGGCCAGCCAGGATCACCAAAGGAATCTGCAAAGGGCCTCCCCAAAACAAACAACATGTCCTGATCTACAGATCATTTGTTTAAGAAGTGTGTTTGGCCTCGTATAGGATCAAGATGATCCTCCCACCAGAGAGCACCTGCGTGCCAAGTGCACCAGCCAAGGCACAGTTGTGATCCTTCTTGCTTTGCGTGCACAAAACACACATGCATAAGGCACCTGGTCCAACCCCAAGACCAAAGGCGCCCTCTGATCAAGCCAAAATGGCTCAAGATCAAAAAACGCTCGACCCTTCAAAATCAGTACGTCCTGAGATCAAGGTGGAATTCTGTTACAAACAGGCCAGGTCCTTTTTTTTTAAGTGACGTTTGAAGGTGAAGGTATATATATAAGATCATGCACCAGCTGGGGAACAACTGATGGCAAGTACTGCAAGTACTATGGGAGTGCAAGTGGCACTTGCACCCCGAAACAGTGTTTCAGAACGAGAAAACTCACCCTTGCTATCCCTTGCTATGGTTCACACACCTCGAGTACCAGAAAGCTGCCCATGTAGTGGTGCTTGAGAAGTACTGTTGATGGACGGAAACATGCGGTGAGGAATGTTGGAGCGTCCCTGGAACATTGGACCTTGTTGATCTTGAATTTCGCCAGCCCAAGTGATGGGCGGGTTGTGCACAAAATAGATCCAATAACATCTTTTGTCTCCTGTGCTTTCCTGTGCTGTATTATAGGGAATTACCAGCAGATGGCATCAGTAAACACGTAGCCATGTGACACATGTTCAGGAAGGAAAACATCAAACACCATAGGGGAACTCATTGGCACAAACAGATGGCAACTTGAGCTGACGGTAGCCTTGCCCCTCGAAAGATACAGTACTTGGTTGGGATTGCTGCAACATTTGGCTGGCACATATACACTGAACAAACACCACGTGCTTGCACATCACAAGAAAGGTAGACTGGATCTTAGTGGATCATGCCTAGCTCGCTGCAAGATTTCGCAATCTTCAAGCATTATTGGGGTTAACAAGTCAATGGCATGGGGAGGGGCCCTATGATATGCCATCCACTTGTGAGTTTAGGCCGCTTCCATGCCATCTATCCCACCGCTACAGAAATGTGGAACATGTATAGATGGCGTACATGACAAACACCCAACAGCATTGCAAAACATGTCACAATGTCAGCAGATGTGGCTTTATTTGTTTGGATCTTTGGATGTCGTTTTGTAAGAATGTGCACTGTTTGATGGCATTTGGTGTCCATCACGGCAATGTTCGGCTGTGTGCCAAACGTTGGTGATAGACGTGACGTCTAGAAGGAGGTCCAATGGGCTCCCGCCCCACTGCGAAGGCTGTGGCTGCACGCGACTGTCCAGAGCAAGATTTGGCCCCCTGGGAGCAGGCAGAGTTTACCTGTGGCGCCTTGGCAGCGGTTTTGTCCCGGTCGTTTTGGTCCAAAACTGCACGTGCGGACCACATGTCATTAAATGTCTCATAATTAGAGGCCGGACGCCTGCTTCGCAGATCGACTTGGCAAAAATGCAGCCCGTCATGCTCGGGATGTTCGACTTGAAGTAACCAACATGTCCGAGTTGCCTTGGAGGCCCTCATGTGCTGCGGATGTTCCAGGCGCGTCCGGGTAGGGAAGGTTTTGGCCCCAGGCCATAGATGTATTTTTGGAAGGGAAAGGGTGCCCTGAAGGGAGGAAAGCAAGTCATTGTTGGTATTGATTCTTCCAACGGTTGGTGGTCCAGTGGTCGGGAAGAATATGGTGGATTTGTCTCAAACTTGTGTGGGGATGCGAGGAGAAGGTTGACGGTGCCGTTTTTTTCTGTTTTTTCTCGACAGTAGCAATTTTGAAAGGGAGGGCTGGTCAGTGATCATGAGACACATCCGTGCTTCGAAATGGTGGCCGTGCACAAGAGCTGCAGTAAAGTGGTGTACGTTTGTACGGCAAGGTTGCCCCACCAGAGCATTGAAGGGACAAAACCAAGGGCCTTGTTCGAGTCCAAAAAGGGCTAGAGCTGAACACACACACACACACGACCAAATCTGACATGGTTTGTGTAAGAGGAGGCATTGTTCCGGCCAGATGAACTCGAAGGCTTCTTGACATGACCTACGTAACCGCCACCACCACCAAGCGAACAGCACCGTCGATCTAATTACTTACTTGGACATTGAGACCTTCACATTATGGCAAACAACCCCAAATGAACATGACTAGAAATTGAAATCAATGACGGCTATATAGTTGGACTTTCTCAACTCGTTCTGTGGTTCCCTTCGTTCTGTGGTTGCCCCTTGGTGTTCAGCATCCCACTCCTTAAGGTTCAACCACCATGGCTTGAAATCGTTTTCAACCAGGTTCCCGGGAGGCAGTATCCCCTAGCACTCAAACACATCCTCAGAAGGTGGTTGAGGTGGGTGCCAGGGGGGTCTAACCGCCTTCTGAGGATATGGGACAGGAGCCCTAGGGATCTTACACACTTATGCTGGGACCCTCAGTTTCCGCTTCAGGAACGACAACTGCTGCAACTTGGCAGGGCATGGGGCCACGTGTCTCGGTCGGGTCCTCCAACCACTGAGATCCATGGAGCCTATGAATTGGCTTGATTTAGCTGTTCAAGGCCCGGGGAGTCTTTGCAAAGACTATGTTCGTTGGCAACCCCAGTGGTGTGGGGGATCCATTGCATGGCTAATGTGTAGGACGGTACCTCTCAATGGGACCTGAATTTTCGGAGGCTCTGTGAAAGGAGTGAAAGGGAGGTCCTGGATTGAGACAACCTGAGTTTACCATAGTTTACCCAGGACCTCCGAGGACCTTTCTGTTTGTAGGTTTTGTAGCTGACTTCCACTTTCCTCACCCAGCTCCACAAGATTCCACCATATCCCGTCATTTTTCAGCCATTCCGAATGGCTTCACCCAGCCAATCCTCCGGTCAAAGATCCAGCCGAGGTGTTGGGACCCCATGGATCCCGATTGCCCCGGCAGCCGAGACTTGGACGCGACGTGTTGGGACCCGGTTTGTCGCGAGCGGCCGAGAACCACGGGGGGCGTCCCTGTTGTGCGGGTTCTCGCGAGAGGAAAAGGCTAAAGGGGGGTGGTCATTCCCACCAACTTCGTTCAAGACACGTCTTCTAACTACCGGCGTTCATCAATAAACAGCCTTCTTTGATTAGGTCACCCTAGATGTCGATGGACCGAACGCCCTGCCAACTGTAATTGGATATCATGAGAACAAGCCCAGCCACGATTTGTTTTCTTTTTTAAAAATACAGTTGGCATGTATGGGGATTGTGTTTCAGGCCAAGGGGCCTTTCACCCTTGGTGCCGCACTTGTGCAGACCACCTTCGAAGTGAACTTTGAAAAGACACTGGAACTCGGGCATAGAGCCGTAGAGCTGGAGAAAACGACACCATTCGCGGGCGGTTTCCCTGCAAGCTCACTCAAGACCACGAGCAATTCCGGGGGGGGGCCAACCCGGCCCTTTTGGATCCGATCCCATCGCGGAAATCACATCACGGACGGACGGAGTCGGTCGGTCCGTCGGACCGGAGAGTCACGTGAACGTGACTCCACTGCGATGTCCGGAGCTCCGGGCGCTCCACAGCGAATCAGGCTACATGAGCGAGTTCCCCGGTGTGAAGTATGGCATTTATATTCCGCCCCTGGGGTGGCACTGTGGGTGTGACGTTCGCAGGGGGATTGCACTCTTCCGAACCCGGCTGAGTGGGAAGAAGTCTCGCTCGTTACACTCCCGAAAACCAATATAGACCCTGACGATGGTCCCATGGAAGACGATTTTCCTCTACCAACCAGGGGTTTTCAGGTTCCATGTCAGTCTTCCAGGGTGTAGGCCAAATGGGGGTTGTGGTGAGTGGTGACTCATGGACATCGGCATGGTCCTTCGGGCAGAGTTTATCCCTCCATGCCACCAAGCTCTTGTTACCTGTTTCATTTTGTCTCATTGAGTGGATTGAGAGTAGATGGCACAGACCCCAATGTCGGTGGTGACTGAAGTCTGCCCCATCTGTCTAGGACATCTTGAGGTCTGTGGCATCAAGTCTTGAAACCATTGTAATATGTGGCCACATGTGACCACCTTCAGACGTCCCCTGTCCGGCCCGGCACGGTCTGTGCTGCCCAACGATTCTGGTCGTTTGAGACCGAGAGCGACTGCACTGCTCGGCGCTTTGGGGGTTGGCTCTTCGAAGTGGTCCCCTTTTGACACCGTAAAGGCCAATAGAATCGATCCGAAGGGACGAACCGGGCCATTTTTTGATGGCCTCCACCTGACACTTGACCACCTTGGTCATATGATGTCATATGATGTTCTATGTAATAACATGTCTAATGACTATATGTAATATACTTATAAGGAACTAAATAAATAACATATTTTTAGTGACCTATCACTGGTTGTTGACGGCAACCATCCACTAACCTCTCACCAGTCACCAGTCCGGCCTCCCGACCGGCCCTCTTCGCAGCTCGGGGCCCTTGGTGGCCTGGCCGCGCTTCGCCAATTGCTCCCAGTGTCTTGGCAGGGCCGAGCGGGTCACGCACGGATGTCTCGGATCGCGCGCGAGCGACGAGTTTGGAACCTCCCAGTCGACTTCGGTTTCGCCAAAACGTGCCTTGCTCCTAAAAACAACACCGTTTTCACCGGGCTTCGGGAAAAATGAGTCAAGTCATCCAATCGCCAGAGATGGAGTCGTCGGATTGACGGTTCCGTCACTCCATTCGCCCTGAAAGAACGAACGGAGTGGATGTGACACTGATCCATCAGTGGACACTGGTGTTGCTTGACCCTTTCGCATACCAAACAGGTATACATGCATATATCATCATATATCATTATAGTAATTATATCCAAGTCCCAGCGTAGTGCTAGCCCTGCGGGTGCTGCGTGTCGGTATCACCTGGCTGTTCTTTTTTGCCTTGCACGTGACCCTTGTACATGTTAATTAGCAGAGCATGTCTCTTGGAAGCTTTGGCCTTGATTTGAAGCAGTGTGAAGGTACACTAAAGATGTTTGACAAAGGATTTTGTGGTCCTTGCGCCAATTTTATGAACATGTCACCAGAAACATGTAGTTAAAACCTGTTGGACTTGACTGACATATACACACTGGAAGACCTTAACATGGACCCTGAAAACCATTGGTTAACTAGAGGAAAACAATCTTTTAGTGGGGGCCAGACAGTCAGGGTCTATGTAAGTTTTCGGGAGTGTAACAACCTTTAAACGTTAAACACATCCTCACACTTAGATCTTCCAACTGTGCAACATTGATGCCTATTTTATGCCTATCTTGGTTGAATTCATTGATGAAAAGGCAGAACATTCTGCACGTCGTTGGAAGATCCAGGTATACTGGTTGAATTATACTGGTTGGACTCTCCACACCTCACACCTGGCCATCCGATGCCACTTCTTTCGTCGTTTCGCGTCGCTCAGATGGGGATGCCTCACGGGAGGTTGGCCTGACGAGCCGCCCAGCGAGGCACGGCCACGGCGTGAGACGCCGCGGGCTACGCGGGCTACGCACGGAGCGGAGCGGCGGTCCGCGACGTCACCATTGTGGGTGGTGTGTATTTTTGGTGTGGGTGTTTCGCATGGGGGTTGTTCAGGTGTTTCATCATTTTTTGGCTGGATCGACACCTTCTTTACAAGGTATGATGGAGGGGCGGGACGGGCGACCGGTGCAAAAAGGGGCCTTGGATGCAAGCGTGGCACGGGAACGCTTGAGTCTGAGAGAAACCCATCTCAAAGAAAGTGTGTAGTCATTTCCCCTCCTTGCAAGCCTCACAAGAAGACCACCCAACCACAAGAGGCACCCTGCAATGGTTCCAAGTTCTATGGCTCGTTCTCGTTTCTTCGGCCCACACCGACGCAGAAAACCAAACAGACGAAGAGGTCGCCCACACCGGCGCCGATCCTCGGAGGTCTCTTCGCTCTTCACGGAATCCTGAGCCGCCATCGATCGACCCTTCGAGTCGGTCGATCGAAGCCTCAGCCGGCCGCGGCCCGCGCGCGCGCGGCGCGCGGCGCGCGGCGCGGAACCCCGTGCGACCCCCCCGGTGGGGGTCCGTGATCCGGGCTGCGCCAGCGAAGAAAGAGGTGGCTGCATCACAGGACGGCCAGGAAGAGGTGTGGAGAGTCCAAGCAGTATAGTTCAACCATGTTCAACCAGTATATGATCATTGTCCACCCCTCAGATTTTACAATGTGTTGATTTTGGTGTGGCTTAGGACGGTTCGAGATGCGAGAGGTCCAGAAGTCTTCATCAGAAAGAGAGAGGGAGAGAGAGAAAGAAAGAGAGTGTGTGTTTGTGAGAAACAATGTGCAAGGATGGAGGAGAAGTGAGGAGAAGACGGAGAAACGAGTTGCAATTGTTTCAACTTCCATGCGCTTTCTCACTGTTGCAGCGGGCAAGGATAGTATGTCGACCTGTTCATTCACTTGGTGTCCCACAAGTCGATCCAAGATGATACATTTCTTGTCAACGCACGGCGTGTCTGACCTAAACTCCAACAAAGGCTCCCGACTCGGCGGTGGACGTCTTCCAGCCTTCGGCAGATGAGAAAAACGGCCTCAAACTGCCACCAGACATTGGGAACCCAAGTCCCAACGCACGACGTCACTTCCCCCGCCCGACCGACGAGCGACGACCGAGGTGCAGCTCTACGACTTCGCTTGCGAAGCCTTGGCGGCCCCCGAGGAGGCACCCGGTTGGAAGGGAGGAGGTCCGGGGGACCTACACTGAGCCCCTTGGCGAAACACGGATGAGTGGCTCCCACTAGGTGGCTGAGGAGTGGCTCCCACATGCTTGACACACGGTCACATGCACAGATGGCTCTGACATGGCAAGAAGCAGGCGGGTGATCAGCGGTTGCAAGGGGTCACCAATGGAAGCCCCCAAACTACTTGTGGATCTCCATTAAGGACCACTTTGAAGGTCCAGGTGGAGTTGTGTATTGTTAGTGACGACATGCAACTTGTGGCCTGAACAATTCGTTGGCGTAGCAGCCACTTCCTTCAATATACATCGCTCATCCCTGCCCACCAGGGAACCGCTTCCTTGAGCGGTTCCCTTCCACATCGGGCCCAACACCTGTGCTCTCACGTTGTCAAGGCGTTGGGAACACCCGCGGCCCGGTGCAGCAGACGCACGTTTCGACGGTTTGGATGGTCCTCTCCTGCACCATCCTGCACCATCCTGCACCCACCGAGCTGGCGTCCTTCCCCGGCGTCCCGAGCTGCCCACGGAGCGCGCGAAGTCGGAACGGCCCAGGCGTGCGATCCTTACTTGAAGAGACTCAGTCGGCATGGGGTGGACGCGGCATGGGGTGGACTCAGTGTGAGTCAGAAGGTTTGGTTTTGAAGAACATGATGAACATGTGGAGTCAGAGTCAGTGTTGGACAACTTGTTTGTTTTATGCAGCTTATTATGCAGGTCAATTTCCAGTTGATGGTTCGGAGGGAGGTTGCATGCATCTCCTTTCCAGGGGAGCTGTGCATTTGGTGGATGATGCTGAGTAGGGACCTGTAAGGACCAGTATACTACCAGTATATACAAGGGTCTCAAAATGAAAAGGGGAGATGAAGAAGCTTCGCTTCTTTTGCTCTCAGATCGTTGAGACTTTCGATGCGTTCTTTCGTCTTCGACCCCTTCCAGCCTTCAGGATCGACTTCGACAACTTCAAACTTTTCAAGTCCAACGTGGAGCAGAACACCAGGACGAAGCGTTCGACCGCAGCAGACCATGGCCGAACATGAAACTGAATTCCGCGGCTTCTCCGTCTTCGCTGAAGCGCTGCAAATACGCGGTTACGTCCATCAATCCAAGGAATTGCTCTCCCTGGGTAAGGAATGGATATCATCCAATCAAACCAAATCGAACGATGTCGACATGTCCTGGAGCCTCGGAGCGACCATCTCGCGTCCGGTCCGCTCTGTGGCCTGGTGACACGGTACGGCGCCTTGGTTCCAGCAAAAAATGGCCATGTTCCAAGGCATAGAACAATAAGACAACAAGGTTCGGTGGATGGGACAGGTGTACAGTAGAAAAAAATTTGTGAAACACAAGCTTACAACATCTTCGATAGGAGCTGGGGAACCGAGTCAGCCATATATATATATAACATATATATATATTATATAACTTACAGCCTGATCCGCATCAGTGGAGGGATCCGCATCAGTCCTCCGCAATCGACCAAATCGGGTACGTTTCGGCCCTGCAGGAGCCCCGAGTGGAGCTTTCGGGCCGGTTTCCAGTACGAGATGCCCATCCGCTGAAAGAGCAGAGCGAGCAGATGGGGGGACATGCTGGGACTCGGTTCAAAGGTTGCACTGCAAGCCGTTGCAAGCCATCTCATTTGTTACATAACCACATTGATGTGAAGGTTGCATATCCGAGTCTTAAGCCAGGTTGATTTTTGCACCAGCCAGTTACATAAGAATGGTTGGGAGATGTTGGGAGCCCCTTGGCCTAAGCCTAAGCATGAAAGACATAGGGTCAGACGCTCCAGTCCAAGCTCATGCACCTTCATAGTCTTGCTACTGAGACTAGATATGACTAGACTATATATGTAGATAGGCGTCTAGACTAGATAACCTCTGAAACAGTAGGTGTGTGTGCCAGCATGGTGACCTCTTTTTCGCCCTTCGGTCACCGGCACCGCCTCTCCCCGGGCATCGCCGGAGCCGAAGCGTGGCGGTTCACTGAGACTGTACTTGGAGAAGCTGAAGGTCAGATCGCTTCGCGTGCAGTGCTTCAACCGGACCGGGATTCCGGAACGAAGGAACGACGTTCCTATGAGTCGAATTCTCCACGGGAGGGTGGTTTTGAGTTTGCGATGGACCGCCCATGAATCGCCGCAGTGGCCATTCTGTGCGCTTTTGTTGGCCCGCCCTTGCTGAATTCATAGGCGCCGGCTTAATTAAGTAAGCTACTAGGAGTAGGAAGCTCCTAGCTAGGACGCAGGACAGCGCTCGCACTATTCACTTTAGGGAAACTTAATTCAGAAGGATTGAACCCCACATGTCCAGTGCCTTTTGGCCCGCGGTTGCTTAGAGTTTCAGGTAGGAACACGCGTAAAAGGTGAGTATGAACATCCTTCATATTTCCTTCAAGACAAAGACACCGCCCAACGAATATGAGACTTATGAGACGGTGTACTTAATCTAGGATGCGCTGCGCCGACCCAGCAGTCAAACCTGTCACTCTTGTGTTTGCCTGAAATCATGTGTGTCACATGAGTCAAGCGCGGGTGGGCATGATCCTGTAGGATGTCCTAACAAGCCTCAGTTTAGGCAGGAAATGGAGGGTGATGAGAGTGGTAGTGAGTCACTCCCACCAGTGAGGGCAGCTGAGGGCCACGTGAAACGATCTACCGTCGCACAGGACCAATTCCCAATGCTTGGGGGAGGCAACTGAGCAGACTCAGCAAGGGCCTTCCTTCGGTCTGTGTTGGGGGCAGGAGTCAGGAGAACAAGGCAACATATTAGCAACATACATCGAGAACACCTTTGTTCAACATGATCCAAGGTTCTTGCGTTCTTTTCTAAGAGTTTCTTTATAGCAGATCCTGACCATGGAATGGATATTCTTCTTGTTCTCCAAAGACAGGCGCTCGATCAGCCCTTCTTGTTTCATGGACATCACTGGCCTCCTTACTTCTTTCTCTGCACAGCAGAAGTTCGAGACCAGACTTCTCCCTGTAGTTCACATCAGTTCGATTTCTTGATCGTTCTTATGTCTTTTCCCGGATCTTTGGAGCCCACACAAGGAAGTATAGTCTGTCAGGATGGTGGGTTTCTAACTGTAAGGAGGCATCCGCCCTATTTTGGGATGCCAAACATGGCAACAACACAGCACACGCCGCAGTGTTCTTGGTTTTTCAGGAGTCCTTCCCTCAACTAAAGGAAAACGCTTGGGGCCGCAGCCAATGCACTGTGTTTCGGGGCCTTTGTCTTCCCATGTGAGGCTTCCATTGACTTGCACACGATTGCATGTGGGCCACCCCACTTCAAGCTTAACCTCACCAATGGCACCGGCTCGGAGGTGGCGGAGGGAGCTGGACCGGGAGGGGGACCGACGAAGCGGGGACACACCTGGCCAAGAATGGATGAGGTCAGTGACTCCATTCTTCAGTTTTTCTTGACCCTGCCTGCAGATTGAATGGTTTCTGCATGTGACTCACAAACAGTGACAGAAGGGCGAATCTCCACGCTCATCCTTGGGGGGCCAGGCACCTCAGGCTGGGTATGAATGGTGACAGAGTGACAGGTGTCATCCCTTTTCCGCATCCCGTGCAACATGCCGCCGTCTCGTTCCAGTGCATTCAGATCTGGATGGCTAAGTCACGAAAGCTAGCCTTAGCTAGCTGGAGTTGCTCTTGCTTTAGCAAGTTAAGTGACGGGGTGGACGCACCTCAGAAACCTCAAATAATTGATTAAATCAATCTTATGGACCCCCCCCCCCCCGCGGTTCGACTCCCCCCTGCGCGCGGTGAGCGGGACCACCAAGCAGCTGCAGCACACCAAGCATCTGCAGCGCCCAGCGCAGCAGCGGCAGCAGCAGCAGCAGCACCAGCAGCAGCAGCAGACCACCCAGCGGCAGCAGCAGCAGCAGCACCAGCAGCAGCAGCAGCAGACCACCCAGCGGCAGCAGCAGCAGCAGCAGACGACCCGGCGCCTGCAGAGCACCCAGCGCAGCAGCGCCCAGCGCAGCAGCGGCAGCAGCAGCACCAGCAGCAGCAGCACCAGCAGCAGACCACCGGAAGCCCGGCTAGCTTTCGTTCACCCCCTCTGGCCTCAAGTGAGACTAACATAGACAAACATTTTTTCATGTGCTTTATACAGATCGACGGGACGCGCAACAGTTTGCCCTTTCTACTTATCATATTTATAATATGTAATATATATGCATATATTAGTATACTACATGACTACATATATACATCTCAATATATCTAAATGCAAGGGAAATCTCTTTCAACCGCTTCGTTCAACTGTCTTCCACTGCTTCGCGCGGTTTCGCCCGCTTCGCCGGCGCGGCTCGGGGCTCGGCGCCCTCTAGGCGTGCGGCCTCCTCCGCTTCTGTTGTGTCCGGGCCGTCGTGTTGGGGCGGAGGGCGGTCGTTGGAGGCGCCGGTCGTTGGAGCGTTTGGATTGAGAGGAGTAGATGGCACAGACCCCAGGTGGTTTATATGGACCCCCATCTGTCTAGGACATGGGGTTTGTGCCATCTACTCTGAAACCACTTTGTGTTCTGCCGAGGTCATGAAGATGATCTCGCCCAACTTTAGCATCATTTTCCAGGACACAGCGCGGCATGCTGGTTATTGGATGCTTGGTTTTGTGTTTACCAGCTGGGCTTACTTCCTTTTCCTGTTACTGTAGGTTCAGTCATCTTAGTTTTGCAAACTAATAGGTCTATAGCCATCCATGCGGCTGAATATCGACACCACTAATTATAAAATAGACTTGTTCTGTTCCTTTTGGTGTGTGTGATTTTAGAACCTGACTCAATTCCATGCTTTTGACTCCACACCTATCCCCTTGAACCTTTTGGGTGGGGCATGTTTCAGCAGGATCTCCAGCTCACCATGCTGGGCTGTCCTGCCTCGGCGAGGCTTAGCCGGTGAACAGATTTTCGGGGAGGAGATATCGGGGATGAAGCTCTAGATCTAGGAGGTCCTAAGAAGAGATCACGAAGAAACCAACATATGATCATTATGTAAATTTAAGTGGAATAGTAATAAAGGAATATGAACATAATCATGAACGTTTTAGCCACCAAAATTAATATGAATTCCTGGAATATTTTTTGTGGACCTATCATCATATTTTTAATAAACATAAATCCCAATATCAAGATAATGATGAGGAACGTGACATCTTATTTTCAGGCTTTAGCAAAAGGTAGTGATAGAATACAAAAGCCAGAAAACATATTTGAATTGATATCAGCATTTTTTCTAATAGATCTTTGTTCTCCATGGGGGTCGTACGAGGTGCGCAAGTCGATCGGAACACTCAAGGACACCCAAGGACATCCTTGAGTGGGTGGCAACATGTAATTAAGCTGAGGGTCCGTGAGTGTCCCGATCAGATTGCTCCCGGATTGCATGCCCTCTGGATTTCTCAGCGCAAAAAATGCTGATGACTGATAATACGTTATTCATGGAAAATGCCAAATTGATTCGAATTGGTTAAGATATTTTCACGTGCATTTTCCTTTCTTACCATTTGCATGTTCTATTTTTTTTTGTTTATTTGTTCATCATCTCTTGGTTTATATCCAAGGAAGGGGAAACAAATTAACTAATGCAAATGGCATGAATATATTTAACAAGACACATGAATGAACATATTTAATACTGTAGACGATTGATAAAGAACTTCAAACCATTGTACTAATTTAATTCTGTAGCCTTACGAGGTGGTACAGAAGGATTGGCAAAGAGAGGCAAGACACTTTGAGCAGGCTTCGATTGAGCATGGAGAAGCCAACATCACAAATGACAACTCAAGCCCTGGATGAGTTCCAAGCAGTTCCAAGATTCTTCGCCCAGATGAAACATCATGCGCTTGGGCCTGTATCCTCATGTGCCGTCTCGGCCAGTATCCTCATCAGCTGCAGCCTCCCAGAAGCTGAGCATCGGAGCATTCAGGTGCCACACAGCTGGTGGCCCAGCAAACTGGGAGGAAGGTTGAAGTGTTTTTTGGATTTTTGTTGGAGGATTGCTTTCATTTGACCTTGCTATTGACTATGGTAGGGCATGAAGAGCACCTTTTTCCTTTCGCGGATGATTTGGGAACACGATTCTCAACCAGGGTGATTTGCTGATTTGGGGGAACTGCTTGGTGGCCTCCATCGCACATGTGAGTGAAATCGCGAGATGGAAACTGTCGTGCTCAACGGGCCTGACCAACGGCTCGAAGGTCAGAGGGTCGGTCGATCCATTTCGTGTCCCGAGAAGCTTCTAGAAGAGCGAAGACACCGCGATGAAAAAAACGGATGTGGGTCATGGATGGCCTCCAACACAGGGCGCGTGTCGGGATTCTGTCAAATCATTGCGGAGACCCTTGCTCTTGATTCCTATGATTCCTGTCCCATTCGGGCGGTTTCAAACGGCGTTCGATGGTTGAACCCTCCTCACACCCACCCTCAAACACCTCAGACCCGCTCTTTGCTGCCCGGAACCTCGCCTGACAGAGTCCTTGTTCTGAGGCCCTGAGGGCGCGTGGTCCGGCCCCTTTGTGGGGGGCCTTGGGATATGTTGGGGGTTGACATGAGGCATGAGGGGTCACAACAGGTGCATTTGGGAGATTGATGGAGATTGAATTGCCCAGTTCACCCCAAACAGAGTCTAAAGTCATCTAGAGTCTTGGGAAACCCTCAAAGATGTCCAGACTTTTTAGATTACTTGAACGCCTCCGGCGCGCGTTTCACGGTCCGCGTTTCACGGTCCACCGACTCCGACCATTCACTATATGTAAGACCGTGACATACAAAAATGGCTTGGAACCGACCGAACTCGTTAAAATGGGATGGATCCGTGGTCTCCACCCCAGCCACCCCAGCCTCAGGTTCTCCACCTCATCCTCCAGGCGGATCCGAACCGCACCGCCTCCGCGGAGCGAGCGCACCGTGAGGTTCTCACGATTGAGACGAGCCTCGCGGACGTGTTGAAGGCTGCCCGGTGAGGGGTTGGAGGAAAGGGCTAGCGGCTATATTAGGATATGTTAGGGTGGGTTTTCATTGAAGTGACCAGCAATCTCCCCTTCGGGAGCTCCAAGATGGCAAGTTAAGTTGCAATTCTTTGGCCAGCCATCTTGGAGACTAGAGCTGGTAGACCAGCCCCGCATTTTTAACCAGCTCCAGTCCTGGCTCAGTGGCAGTGGCTGTGCAATTGTTCGTGCCCTTCTCTTCGAAGCAGCTCCAAGTTCGTGTTGCAAAAAGCCATCAGACTTTCGAGAAGAAAGCGTCCAGTGGTTTCAGAGGTTCGATGGCACTGGCACCCCAAGTCCATCTAAACCACTGAACTTGGGTGTCCTTGCGCCCTATTCTCAACCACGAGACCCCCTTCTACTCCAAGAGGCCTCTGGGGCGTTTGCGTCTGGTCCATCTGTAGATCTTTGATGGTCTTTGGTGATGTCCAGACGTGAACATCCCCGACCCGCCAGAGCGCCACCGGAGGCGCCGCACTTGGAGCACTTGAGCTTCGTCGTCCTGGACGAGACCAGCGTCCGCCAGGGGGAGGCAGTCCTGGAACGATCTTTGACCTCTGACACTTGGAACCGGGGTGCCTGAACTCCGCCCTTCAGGCACTCTTGGAGTTCCGCAAGGCCTTCAACACGCGGGCGGACACCATCGTCAACTTCAAGGTGCCTCAGAACCGGGTCCCGAGCCGATCTGGACCGAGCAACGTGTTTGGCCAGATAGCAACGCTGGTGTGAGGATGGTGCCCAGACGCCCAGACGTCCTCAGCTTTAGGAGGTTACTGTAAGGAAAAAGACGATCACAATGGCCGATGAGCGGAACATGACCCGAGGGAGTCCAATGACCAAAAGGTAATGGCTCCTTTGAAGACTGTAAGACAATGACCAAAAGGTAATGGCTCCTTTGAAGACTGTAAGACAATGACCAAAAGGTAATGGCTCCTTTGAAGACTGTAAGACAATGACCAAAAGGTAATGGCTCCTTTGAAGACTGGTTTTCAGAACGCGAAGTTCAGACCTGAGCATCAACAAGTTTTCCGTGGAAGAGGCGCCGTATACCAGGTGCCAGTCACCTTCACCTGCACAGAAGGGACCAGCGAGTGGGCCCAGGCACGCAATCCAGGGTGTGGCATGATTTGCATGAGAGATTGGTGTGTGTGGGGACGGGGGTGGTGAGATTGCTGGCTTTGTTCATAGTGTGGGCCCGATGCAGATGCAGTATCAAACTGCCTTGCTATGTCTTGCTAGATGGGCTATGACTGATGTTATAGTTGTTATGGCACCAAGTAGCGATACAGCAAGGACACACTACAGCCAAAGAGTTCTACATTCTGGCTATAGTGTACTTGTCCCAGGCTTTTACCTTCAAACCTTCAGCCGGGGATGCTTCATCCCTCGAACCTACACCGCAGAAACCTAAACGCCCCTCGAACCGAGGAACCCATGGGCGCCGTGGGCGAATTGGAGGGCTCCTTGCTCTACCGCAACTTGCCGGCGTGGGCACTGAGACGGCGGATGGGACCTAGACATCACAGGGGATGGAGGTGAGAGGAGGTTTGGAACCAACAAGGTGACGGGGGTTGAACACCTCACCAGGTGGGATGCTCAAGGACTTTTTTGTGGGGTGTGTATCGCATCCCAGCATGCCTCCTGAGCTGGGGCACAGCAGATGCGAGCAGAGAAAAGATGATGGAAAAGGTGTTACAGTAAATGTTCATAAGATTTCATTGAAGCAGTTACATGAGCAGACCATCATAGACCAAACACAAGCCAACTCTTGCACTCAAGAACAAGTATTCGATCCGTCTCAAGGCACAGGTCAAGTGAAGATCCATGAATCCATGGCTTCAGGTGCCCCAGATTGCGTTAACATGTGCAAAGTATTCAGACCATTTAGATATAAATATGCCAATTTTTAAAATCGGCTATATCGCCTACGCACACAAGGTCCTTAATGCCGGATCCTTTGGGCTCAAAGATTCCAGCACAATGTAGCAGAGCGCTCTCTCAAAAAGTGCTCCAGATTCGCGCAAAAAGTCCGTACACAATTTCGCGCAAACTCACATGTGCGCAAACTCACATGTGGTTGCAGGTTCTGTTGAGCTCCTGCTTGTTTCTGGAATGTTTCAGTTTGAAGACCCGCGAGCTTGCAGACTCTTGTGTCGCCTGGCTGACACGGTGGACAGTCGGGACGGAGCGAAAAATCAGCGTGAGCTACTGAGCAATTTGCGCGGGATTGTTGCAGTTCTTTACCAGATTTTAACCGGGTAGTAGCTGTGAGATGGCTTCCATATATTATGATTCCTTTTCACTCACCATGTGGTTCCGTTTGGACATTTTGTCAACCGATGCTACGAGAACTCTTGCATCTCTCCTGATGCTACTAGTGAGCGTTATGCCCAAGGGTGGATGGTTTTATTGCCGAGGCAGCTTTGAAGAACCGACAGTCCTATTCCGCAGCTCGGCTGGAGAGACTTGAGGTGATTGCCACCTCCAAACCCACGGAACCCACAACACCGAGGAAACGCGAAACGCATCGATGAAAGAAGCACCGCATCCCACGATGGAGGCTGTGAGCATCGGTGTTGGCACGCCGCCCCAGCATTTTGACTTGGTGGCTGATACTGGAAGCAGCGCAGTGATTGTCACGCACTGCGCCTGTCAAGAAGCCAGCTGCTACGGCTACAGCTCATCTTGCGTCTCGGTCAGGAGCCGATTTGGGGGCGGCGCACCGTCCTAAGGGCATGTGCACGCAGCTGAGATACGCTGAGATAGCATGTATGGTCTCAGGAAACGGACCTCTTCTTTTATTTGCTTTGGTTATAGGAGGGCAGTTTCTATCGTTGGAATCTCCTTCTGAGAGGGGCGTTTTGATGATCGTTTCTGCAAACAAATTTCATCCACCTTTGAAACGAGCTGACCTTATTCGCCTCGACGAAGGACCAACCGGGTGGGGCCGGGCCCTGAGGTTTCACGGGCACCAACCGCTCTGAGACCTTCGTTCTCCCCAAAGACTCTGAAGGACCAAATGAGTTGAATTCGGGAAACGGCCTCAAAAGGGGAAAGAGGATGGGAGAGGGCTCGTTCGCATGAGGTATTGAATCAATTTTGGTTGGTCAATGTTGGTCATAGTCATTTCTTGGGATTCTTTTTTCTATTTGCTCTAAATTGGTTTGGGTTTCTGTCCGCTCTTCTTTTGGGAGACGCATTGATGTGTTGGCCCTGGGCTTTCGTGCAAATTTTTGTTGCGCATGTTCTCTGCTGATGATCCCACACGCACATGCCCGTTGGAAGATGGTGGATTTGTGGGTGGGTGCGGGGTTCTTTGTGAGATGTTTCTTACATGACGCCACTTGGGAAGATGCGGGTATAACGATGTTTGCTTTCTTCGCGGCATTGCTAATGAGCTTTTGTAATTCGATAGGTTGGCTTCGTCTCGTCATCCACGAGGTTTCTCCATCTCAGATCTCCAGTAAGAGAACAAAACATTGAGATGTGAACTCGTGTTTGTATATGCAGGGGTTTAGCATGTGTTTTTGAACTAATATGGATATTATCTAGTAAAAGACGCGAGCTTCAGGTGCTGCATGGCCACTTTCTGATGAACATCGTGACATGTCATGTGAGGATTCCGCCAAAAACCGGAGTAGAACTCAAACAGAACACCAGTCGAAAAGCATGATGTCGAAGCATAAACCAAATAACAAAAAACACTTCAAAGATACAAGGGCAAATATCTGCGTGTGAGCTTGTTTTGAGACAGTGGGCCCAGCATTTTGTGAAGATCTCGAGATCCTGAAATGTCAGGAAAGCCTGCAAACAAGAATGTTAAGAGTAGAGCTGATCGGTCTTGGACCATATCCAATAGTCGATCTTGAACATGTGCGTGAAGCCAAGCGGAGATTTGTGGCCCACATGGGCGCCTCTGAATCCTTTGGGCACAGCTTCTAAGTGCCCAAGGTTTGTAGAAATCCTCATGAAAATGACCCTGCCAGAGCTATCTGGAAGCTCAGCAATATTGATGTGTTCTTCCATTGTTCCATGCAGACTCTAAGGAAACAAGCAGATGTTCTTGTTTAGAGCTGTTTATCAATAAGTGTTGCCGGACTGTCCAGGGTAGTTGTGGTTGTCTAAAGCCAAGTGACTGTGCAACGTCATGGCCTTGCGGCCTGACGGGCTCCAATTGAAGAAAGCCCATCTAGCAAGAAACAAACATGGCGGCATAGGGTGGAACGTCGCAAAATCCCACGCCTTTTGGAGCGCCTGTTTTCTTCCGCTTTCCTTGTTGCGACGTGTCAGACGTTAAACGTCCTAAGTAAGCTCGCCCAGCACCTCGCTTCTTCAATTTCCAGCATGGCTTGTCGATGCTTGCCGTGTGTAGGCAAGCCAACGAATAGAGGAGACCCTCACTTGCTGGCGATGGAGTTTGGCAGTGGAGTGATTTATGGGGTCCTGGCCACGGATGCGGCTTGTCAGTGCTTGGCAGAGGGTGCCCTTATCATTCTTTCGTAAGTCTGAAGCCCAGTTTGAGCGGTGTGTTACTATAAGACATATGCTGCATAAGTATGTACATATACATGTACTTAACAATGCCACTGGGTCACTTGTGACAACCACCCATTTCCGAACCTGTGGCATCATGATGCACGGTCCCGTTTTTATTTTATTTTTATTTTTTTTCCGGTGCGCCCGTGCCGTGTTTGCTCGTCATGATGGGATCCGATCTGCTCATTTCTTGGGCTGGTGGAATCGGCGCTGTGAAGCTGGTGGGACCGAGAAACATCACCACATGGGACCGAGACTTCTTACTAGTAGTAACAGGAAGCTAGTAGAAACAAGAAGTGCCTCGCTACTAGTAACAAGTGCCTTACTAGTAGTAACAAGAAGCTATTATATTAGAAACAAGAGTGAGTGGTTGGGTTTGCTTTTGAAGTGCCGGCATGTGGCCCAGGGGCCCAGCCATGCGGTTTGTCCCTCCGCGGGAGTCTGAGGTTTCAAGTCCCAGCGACCCCAGCAAGTGGTGTCCGGCCGACACTCAAAGGAGTTCAATTTGAAGTCAAAAATGGTGACAAGATAGATCAAGATGAATCAGAATACTGTCAGTTCATTTCATGATGCTTCTACAAAGTTGGGTGGAGGATCCCTAACTTACATCTATACTCACCAAAAAGTAGGTCAACTCCATAGAAGTGGACCATTTTAGACCATACCCGTTTTAGGTCCCCACCAGTCGACGACTCGGTCCGGTCCACGCGTTTTTGTTCAGGTGGTCTCTTTGGGCCCTGTGAAGGCCAGGATGAACGAATCCCTGGCTTCTTGGAAGAAGAAGGCGGAGGTTTTTGGGGGATTCGAACCTGATAACTTATAGCAACAATTGCTACAGGCAATAGCGAAAGGCGTGAACAATGCAAAAAAGTGAGCTGAACCTTCCAAAAAGAGACTTGTCCCCAGTCGGCACCGAGTTTGTGGGTGGTGATTGGAGGGAAAATGCAGAGAGAGAGAGAGGCCTGTCTATAAACCAACGAAACTCCGTGGTGCTCGAGAGAATTCCTCGGTTTGCCATTGAGCACTGCAGAAGAAACGCCGGCTCGTATGGGTGCAGAAGGCAGTTCTATGCGACTGTGGATGGACAAAGGGCAGCATCAGCTGGAACACCCAAGCAATGTTGAACCACAGCAAGCATCATTTTTGACAAACAACCTCCCCGGTTCCCGAGTAGCAGTTCGTCAACACTATGTGCTCCAAGATGGTACCCGGCTGATGCCTGAAAGTGTGAAAAACTCAGGTATTGATGTACGATCATCAGCTGGATTCTGGCATCACTGATTTCGAGGGCATTTTCGGGCTTGGCCTTCCCTACGGCGAGGCTTCTGCACAGTCCTGGCTCAGGCAAGCATCTCGGCTAAATGGGACCAGTCCCATGCATGGGACAATAGGTAAAACAATGTAACACACACACACGCACCTAATTTTTTTTTAAAAAATATATATATATATATACACAATATATTTGACATCTCTTTCTACCAACCTGAAGCATTCTATCATTCTCATGCATTGAGGTCGGGGCCGTGATTTCAGTGGATGCATATTATCGGGTTCGGGGGAGGGCATTAGGGACAGGACCAAACCCTAACATCACTCGACATATCTCAAAACTGCATGAACATGCCTCATTCGATCAACTGAAGACCCTCAGGCGGCAGTTCAAAGTTTCTCTATGTGCTTCTCCAACTTCGAGGAGGACGGTGTTCTGCGGCTTTTGCGCGGTGCCAAGCACGAGCCGATGGAGGAGGCGGGCCATGGCAAACGGGAGGGGTTCGAGCAAACCCGATTGAGTCCTGCACCAAACTAACGGAATTCTTGAAATGCACCATTGCTACAGAAGATCGCACGTTTGATGCTTGAACTGGATTCGGTTTCTACGATGTTGGGTTAGCATTCCATTGGTTTTTGGAGTCCTATTGCGCCATCAAACATTGGTGAAGCTTTGTTATCAGTTGCTTCCTTGGGGACGCATTCTAGACCACTTCAACATACTTCAACTGCTTGTGCTGCAAGTGCTTTGCTGCGGGGGGTTACCTCTAAGTTGTGGTGGCTGGCCGGAAGAAATGCAACCCTGTTGGGATTTCATTGCGATGTGGATGTTTGGCTGAAGCAACGATGCACCTTTGGGAGCGCTAGCCACTGTTTGAAAGCATGCTTTGTGAACTTAGGCGTCCAGGTTGGCATGGTCCAACCTTCTCAATTTCTCTAAAACATGTGGAATACTAGATAATTTCGGGAAATTGTGTTTCTCTACGAGGGCGCCCAGGGTCCTCCAAGAACACTAGCAGATTCAGCTGCTCTTCTTTTTTTTTTTGGGGTGTGTGTGTGTGTTTCAGGCAAGCATGCCAGTTGATGGATTGATTGTATCGAATTGTGTGTTCTGTGGGAGGCCTTGCAGATGAGGAATGTTGGGAAATACCACTGGGCTTTGAACTTCCACGGCATTTCCCTGGGCAACGCGACAACTCCCGTGCTTTTCTGTGGAGGCCGGATTGCAGATAGGGCTGGAGATTGACGTGCTTCCCCAGCATGTTTAGACTGGGCCCAGGTTCACCCGTTTAGGCTCAGTAGCCAGTGTACCTCCTGTGGTATTTCCTTGGGTAGGTGGGAAGTTCGAAGCAAAGGCCTTGCAAGAATCAGCCCTGATCCATCAACACTTGCAACTCTCAACTGTCCCAGAAACGCCTCGGCACAAGAGTTTACGCTTCTCCAAATTGATTTTGATTGTCATTTTGTTTCTTCACGTTTCTTTCCTCATTCCCGCCCAAGAAATAGGGGTGAAAGGAGTTTGTGGTGAACAATCAACAGTTTGGAACCACCACATACAGTACATATCATCATCGTCGTCATCGTCGTCATCATCATCATCATCATCACCGGCTGCTAGCCTTCGTGGTTCTCCGCGAAGCAGAACCCCTCACACGGTGTCTCCAGGTGCCAGCAGCTGTGGTTTGATCCCTGACTCCGGTTGCTCGATTTGCTGGATGTGATGCATGCACATCGGGCCATCAACTCGGGCGTTTTCCACCTGGATGCCATCACGAGCTATACATACACACGGAGAATGCAGCGGTATAGCTATATAGTAGATTGCATCAACAGATTCCGCGCACAACTGCATCCTGCGATAAAACCAAGCTATGGAACCCATCATTTTTTGAAATTGCTGTCGTAACGATGGTCAGACCGAAAGCAAGCCGCACCCCGTTAGCCACGATAGTCACTTAGTAATCACTGGTGAATGCAGATCATTGCATGTTTCAGTCGCTTGGTGCATTGTTGATCTCAAAGAATGTCGCCATTGTTGCCGGGCTTGCTTATGATGGTTTATCCTTCAGGGGTTCTTGTCTGAAGTGATATCGCAACCGCACTACCGCGATGGGCTTGGTGGAATGATACACGTGAAAGAGTCATGGACAATTTGAGGTCCTGGTCTCTGTGGTGACCCTTATTCCAGGGCTCTTGAATCATGGAACTGGGTTTAAGCCACAGGCACCTAGAGGTGCGACTTCCGCCACGACTCCGGCTTCAATCCACAGAGTTCGGGTGTGTCCGCCGAGACATCGACGGCCCACGATCGACATCTATAGACTATAACAGTTGCAGGCATGGGGGCAAGTTCAACGCGCTTCCGCACCGAGGTACTACCCTGATCTTGGGCCCTCCAGACCACCTCTTGGAGCTCTTTGCGTCCCTTTGCGACCGCTGGCCCCGCTGCGCGGCCGCGGCCGAGCGTGCGGCCAACGCCAGCTCAGCACAGTCAATCGGCATCAGCCACTTGGAAGCCCTATACGGCCAGATTCCGGGGGTTTGTTTTCCACGAAGTCACGATATGACAGGCATTGCTGACCGCTCAGATGAATACGGATCCCATCAATATGACCGTGGCGACCGAGGTGACTGGATCAAGCATGCGTTTGAGAGATGGGGATTGCCTCCCATCCGCTCACCTTTTGCACCAAGTCCGGCCACGGAGAGAAAGATGGAGACTCGGGCGACTGCGGTTTCTTTCGATCGCTGAATTCCTGGCCTGGCGTGCACCAAGATGGATGAATGAGGGATGTTTAAACGGGCAGTTGGTGCCAATTGGGGATGCCCACGGGCGTGCGGGCGTGTTTTTGTCATGTCAGAATCCAATGCTCCTGAATGTTCATGAATTTCACCTGTGCAGCCACAACCATGAGGATGTGCTGCAGCACCCCATGTGACCTTGTGTGTCTTCACATAGTTTATCAAGGATGCTAGGAAAAGAGGAAGGTGTGAAGAGGTTGGGCAGGGATTTGACTTGACCGGTTTTAACTCGGCCTTGCACTTTTGTGCGCTCTTTTGAAGTAATTATACTTCCAAGCAAACCCGGTTTAGGGTCAAGCCTCAAGGCATCCGGCTCTCCACTCCGCCTACTTGAATGGTCGGACGGTCCGGCTCTCCACTTTTGAAATCAACACTCTGCATCAGTGGTAGGTCACAGCGAATTCGCCATCACCTTGCCCGGAGTCGAATCTGCAAGGCTCTTCAGCACAAGGCCTGATCCACTCCAGTCTCCCCTCCCTTCCACAACTCCTTTTGACAAATTATATATATAATCGGAATCAAATTACGACCAAACAAAAAGTCCTGACAACTGCTTGAACAAGAAGTTCATAGCGAACGCAACCATTGGACTGCTGAAGCATGAGCCTCCCACCCCCCGATGCCCTGGAAAAGAACACGGTTTTCCATGTTTTTCTCCGCCTTGGTGTCGCGACACAGGGCACGTGCACCCGTGGGGCATTCTGAGGCCAAGCGCGAGGCCTTCGAATCCTTGCTCTCCACCTGCAGTGCTTGGGCCAACTCTGCGGAAGACTTGGACGCTGAGCTGCCGGAGCTCCTGTGGCACGTCAGCGGCGCCGGGGATTCTCGCGGTGACGCGAATTCTGGGCAGCTCGGTGCTGCGGAGTTCAGCTGGTCTGCTAATTGAAAACCATCCGTTCCAAGACGTTTTTTTGCCCACCATCAAACTCCAGCTGTGTAGAACGTGACGGTCCGGGCTGCATGCGCTGCATGCACTGCAAGACTCAGGAATTCGCAGGTCCTGCGGATGCCTGGAAGTGCCTATGTGGTGGCTGTCGGCTATGAGGGGAGGATCCTGTGATAGAAATAAGTGTTGATCAGGGAGGCAGGCATGGAGGCCCGGTCTCCTCATTTTTCCGCTCAGCTCCAGAGCTGAGGAACCCCAGAGCTCAATATTCAATTGAGGTCTGTGATTATAGATGTCAGACATGGCCACTTCAAGGGGATGTTTGTGATTCCACAGGACATTCAGGTTGCTTCAGGTGATGGCAATTATGGTGACCTGTTGGAGATTGTTTGAGTATGAAGCCCGTTTGAGGATGGGTTGCGTGGCGTTCTTCGGGGAGATCGACTTGGTCACCCCGTCGGGGCCTGTGTGGATTCTGGGGAGCGCCATCTTCTATGAGTACGTGGTCAAGTACGAGTCTTGGAGTTCGGAACCTCTGAAACTCCATAGGTTCCATAGGTGGAACGTCACTCCCCCGGCTCTGCCGACTTCCCACCTTCAGAGGCCTCCAGAGGCCTTGAAACTGCAGTGGGCATTTTCCTCTACTTGACCAGTGTTTCCAGGTTTTGTTCGTTTGCGAGGGTGTAGGTGGTTGCCGTGGCCAGTCCCCAAACCTACTTGTACTGAGCCACGTGCAGGCCAGCCACTTGGGTGGTGAAACCAAGTATACTCCTGTGCGCTACAAGATGCAAGCAAAAGTTGAATGTTGCGAGGCAGCACACTGTCTGAGGACCTCTCACCAGACGCAGCCATCTCCTTCAGCAAGGGCCCCTGCAGCTCCTGCTCAACAGACACGGCCCTGGCCCTTGCTCGGCGAAAGTCAAGACAGTCTCGGCCTATCCGACGGCAGGATGTGGGGGTGGGGTGAGATTGTGGATTTCAAGCTGCTTGAAGGATTTGATTTGCTGGTGTTGTGTTTCATGGGCGCGTTCCTTTTTTTCCAAGCCTGCGGATGGGATGGGCTGTGGAAGAATGACCTTTGCCAGGAGTCTCCTGTGCGCATGCCTCGCTTCAATCATAGCAGGCTTTTGTGAGCGAGCCCCACGATGTGCGCGATACCAGACCATCAGCGAAGATGGAAAACGGCCCCCGTGATGAGGACCAAGTGGGACCTGTAGTAGGGGAGCGATGAGAAACACCTCACTTCCAGCAGGGAATACGCCACAGGAAGAGCAGAGTGGACAGATGTGGGCTTCCCACATTGAGAGTGAACGGTCAGGTGATGCAGGATACGGATCTGATGATGATCATATAATATAATGGTGACCTGTAGGTGCATGTATCATATTGGCCAGAATTCCGGATGTTAATGTTGACATCTACGTTGTTGTATAGGACCAAATGACAACCATGGACCAGTAGGGATATCGCATTGGATTTCAGGATGTACGACATGTTGACGAACGACATCTTGCACCTTCGACTCACACACCCGGTAAACAACAAAGAGAAAAACAGTGATGCCGATCGAAGACCGGGGTGGTTTTGAACTGGTCCCCCAGAATTCCACATGCTGTCCTTGAACCTACTTCTTCACCCTCACAACTTTGTCTCCAAGCACTGGTAGGTTCCCAGGGCCCTGGGACTGGTTTGTAGTAAATGTTACTACTACTACTACTACTACTACTACTACTACTACTACTACTACTA